GTCCTGAGGCAGCAGTAGACCTTGAAACTATTTTGAATTCCATTTCCCTTCCTCCAGTTAGATTTCAAGTTGATGGTGTTCTTTTGCCATTTCTCTCCCTGCCCCCTCCCGCCCTTGTTGAAGACTTTTGGCCAGGGTTATATAATAATTTGTGATTGGGGGCTTCGCCAATATTTTGGTAAGTGGTCATGGGTCACATTTTTCAATGGAGGGGGTACAGGGTCTGGGACAGAGGTACAGAAGCGAGCTCAGGGTAGGGGATTGGTGTTCAGGAGAGGGTGTGGAGTCTGAAGGGGGAGTTTGGGTAAAGGAGGGGGTTGTGACCTGGGTCAGGAGATTGGAGTGCAGAGTCTGGAAGGGGGTATGGGTGCAGCAGAGAGGAGTGTAGGAGGGGGTACAGGGTCTGGCAGGGAACTGTGAGCTGGGGTGCAAAGGGCTTGGGTGATGACCGAGGTGGAGAGCTGAGATGTGGGAGAGACATGGAACAGTCAGGGGCTTTGAGTGGCTTGGGGGCTGCTCCCTGCCTGAGGGTCCCAGCGAGGCATGTCGCAGGCAGGATTCAAAGGGTTGGTGGGCTGTATCTTGCCTGCAGACCATATCTTGTTTGCTCCTGCTTTAGGCAATATTCCTTATGATCTTGATTCCGGAAAACACAAGCACATCAATGGGACTAAAGTACACGTTTAAAGTTAAGCACATTCTTACATGGGGCCTATGTAAACTTCTCTGCTCACCTCTCTGTAGCATGGATTTGCAATTTGTTTATGAATTTACAAAAAACTAGGGAAATAAGTTTTCTGCTTTGCAACACACTAGCATCTTGAGAGAGCTCCATTTCTAACCAAGTTTTTCCTAATGCACCTAAACCTTGTCATTTCTGAGATATTACAGAACTGTGAAGTGGTGATTTGACTCCAAATGGTTACTAACAAACAGCTCAGATAATTGAACTTCCCTTTTCTAGCATGAATATGATTTTAATCAGCATATTCTATATATCATGTAAGGTTGCCAACTATGACTGAAGCTATTCTGGGAGATTTTTTTCCCAAGATGATATAATGTCAGTTTCTTAAAATAATCTATTAAAATCTCCAGGATTGATTTCAACAGTCACTGGGAGGTTGATGCTGATTCCAGGAGGGTTGGCAATTCCGCTAGCATGAGGTAGAGCTGAAATAAGTAGAATTTGGTTTTATTCAAGTCTTCTTTTGAGACTTCAAAAATAAGTATGGGGGAAGAAAATAAGATTTGTGTTCCTCTGAATAACCTCAGTGGGCAATATTGCTGTCATCAAGGAGGCCGGTGGACAGTTTTATTCTGATTCCCCTTACTTTTAAGTATTCTATATAAGTATGTCACTGCCCTGTGCTATTAATGCCTATTTGTTTGAACTGACAACAAAAACACACAGAGAGAAGGGGATGGAGGAAGCTTGACCATGCAAATCTCTGACACTCTGTGTGTGTCTCTGTCATTCTCACAAACACACTGTTCTTCACTCTTACCTCCTGACCCAACACATACATGGGCAGATTGTTTTTACTAATTTTACTGCTTGTAAAGTGTTACTTTTGGGTTTTGATTGGTCTGTGCATTTCATAATTTTCATTTATCTCTTATGAGTTCTAAAACGCCTAACCTGTGGTGGCTGGAGTCATTATCCCTGTGGTAATTGCTGCTCATGGAAGTGGGTGGCATGTCCCTGCAGCCCCTGAGAAGGGCAGAGCAGGGGATCTTCACATGCTGTCCTTGCCTGCAGACACCACTCCTGTGTCAGTCCCCGTAATACACGAGGTTCGAAAGGATGCTGGAAAGGATAAGACCACAACTGGGGGTTTTAAAAAGCACAAACTGATTTTATTTTGATGACGCCAGACAATCATCAGAACAAAAATTAAACAGATTGCCAGACAACACAAAACAATTCCCTGAGGCTTTTCTAAATCACAATAATTCCCAATAACTGCCCAGGGGTTAGAAACAGTTGAATTAACACTGGTATTATCCATAGGGCTGACTATTTACACAACTTTATACAAGGAAACAGTAAAAAACCTAAACCACAACTATTTATAAACTAACTTAGTAACTTTTTAGCCACTGTCACTTGGCAAGCAATAAGGACAACTAAAAAATCAATTAGGATAGGGATGATGGTGGGGGGGAAGGGGTGTTATACCAGTTCTGGAGACAGCAGGAACACAAGTACCGGTCACACGCTCATAAACTGTCTCCACTCGGGTCGACCAACTCGGAGTACGCTCAGTAAGACTCGAGAGAGGGGGGTGCAAGGCGTCTGGGTGATCAGACCAGGCGTTCACTCGATGTGAATCCCCCGTGAAAGAGGGGCTGCCTGCCTGTTTTATTGCCTGTGAACTTATCACCCCATAGGATGGTTTTTGCTGCAGTGGGTGGAGTAGCAGGCCTGAGCACAAGTCAGCCCATTGGCTGATCTTTCCCTGCAATGGGTGGAGCGAGCAGGGGAAGATTATTAATTTACATGCCCTTATATGGAAAACACTCCACCTCACAGACAGAGCCCCCTATACCAGCCTTAGAGGTATTACAGTCTATGGCTCCCTGCGACGGCCAGCCATTTCTGATGTTCTGTCTCGGACAGCCTGCAGCTCCTATTGATCTGTAATGGGGAACTGTGGCCAGTGGAAGCTGTGGGCTCAGTGACTGTAGATGAGGGGCAGCATATGGAGCCATTGCTGTACATGCCAGCTGCTTCCAGGAGTGGTGCAGGGCCGGGCAGGAGTAGGCCTGCCTTAACCCCACTGCTCCACCACCTGGAAGCCGTCTCTGATAAGTGGTGCCCAGCCAGAGCCTGCTTCCTGAACCCTTGTCCCAACCCTGAGCCGCCTCCTACACCCAACTTCCTGCCCAGATGTGAGTTCCCCTGTCCCCAAACTCCTTCCCAGAGTTTGCACCCTGAAACCCTACTGGACCCCAATCTCCCACCCTGGGCTAAGCCTGGAGCCCCTCCCACACTCAAAAGCCCTTGGCCCAAGACCAGAGTCTGCACTCCAATACCCTACTCAGGACAGGTGAGGAAGGGGGATGGAGTGAGCAGGGTGAGGCCTCGGAGAAAGGGTGGAGCTGGGGCAGGTCCTCGAAGGGGCAAGAAGGAAGTGGGGCAAAGGTATTTGTGTTTAAGGTAGATCTTACATTTCACTTAAATTGAAAAAGTGATCTTGTGGTTGAAAAGGTTGGAGACCACTGCTCTAATAACTCACGTACAACATGGCTAACTTAGGTCAAGATGTGAGGGGAGGTTGTTGTATTTGTTAGGAGATGTTTCGACTGAGATAAGGTTTTAGAACTCTTAACCAAAAGAGGTTGTTAGAGAATTATTAAAAGTAGCTGAATATGAGGTTGAGCATGAAATTAGAAGCCTAACCTGCCTGAAACTAGTTCTGTTTGTATCTGCTGCTGTTGTTGCTACAGCCTGCACTGGAGATGTCAAAACTCCATAGTTGCACATATTACTAATGGCCATTGGAGTCTCCTCAGCAGCTGAAACAGTATGTGCCACTGTAAGTGTAGACATACTTCTAGAGTACAGATGCCACATACCCAGCTAGCATGGCTATAAGTATCATCATAGATGGTGAGGCTCAACTAAGGCGAATAGAGTAGAGGGCCCTCCACACCAGAACCCTAACGGTGTGTATTTGACACAGGCCAGCCAAGCAGTTCCATCACAATCTATGCTGTTGAGACTTTTCTTTCTAACATATGTTGCACTGTGAAGCCTAGGTTTTTGTTATGATAATAATTTGCATTTATATGTCGTCTTCACACTTGCACATCCCCAAATGCTTTGGGCTAGACTGCCCTTTACCCAGCCATACATGGAAATAAGGCCTCCATTGCATGGCCAGGTAAGGGCAGCCTAGACTGCAAGGCCAGACTGATGGTTTCTCACTCTGTGAAGAGGCAGGTGGGAGAAGCCGGGGCTGTGTATACTACTCGCCAGCCAGCATAGCTTGCCAGGCACACCACAAGGAGTAAGTGCTCCCAAAAAGAAATGAAGTAACGTAGGGCACGTGTACAGTAGGAAATTATTTTGAAATAACTTATTTCAAAATAATAACTCCTGAAATAGGTATTTCAAAATAAGCTTATTCCCCCAGGGAAGTAGGAATACAGATTTTGAACTAACCAGCCTGTTATTTTGAAATAATGGGCTTGGTAGTGTGGACGTTCTGCTTATTTTGAAATAACCCCCCTTATTTCAAAATAACAACTCCTTAGTGTAGACCAGGGCATACTTTCTGTCAGCCCCATTCCAGTCCCGGAGAGTAAATCGGGCTCTGGGAAGAGGCACAGTACTTTCCTGGAGCTCATCCAAGGTCAGTGCAGCTAAATTGAGTCTTTATTCAGGGATGAGCATGAGCCTTGTGTTTCCCTGTAGCCCTTGATAAAGCTATAGAGGTAGCAGTACTATACTTGCAGACATCAGTGTTTAAATGGCTCCTCGGGGACTGCATCCTTTCTAAAGTAGGAATTTAGAAGTTCTAATAGCCAGTGGTGTGTTTTCAAAGTGTAATTTTCATACAGCAAAATCCCCGCAAGCATCTAAGACTTATCCTGAAGTGCTGGCTCAGGAGAAAATGTCATGGGATTCAATCAACATTTTGCTTGGGCATTACTGCACTTCCCAAGTGCCTGCCATCAGAGCAAGTTGTACTGAATAAAGTCCATCAGCAGGAGGTGCACAACTGAATTCCTACACATTGCATCTATGTTTTGGTGGTATTGCCTGATAACAAGGCATCCTTGCCTGATCTCATCTGGAATTACCATTTTTGCAAGTTACTGAGATCTTGTGTGGACCCCAGATTATGTATGTCACCATTGCTAATACATGTGTCTTTTTCTTGTCAAAGTTTAGAACATGAAATATTCTTCTAACGCTGATTTATACTTGGAAAACGTAGCTAAATAAGGAGTTAGATTTGTGACTTTACTGTACGTTGTTGTTGTTCCAGGTTTCATAGCAATATTGGAAAAAGTTCAACTGTAGACCATGCCTGTCCCTCCCCCTCCAGCTCCTCCGCCTCCCCCTACTCTTGCAGTGGTAAGTTTCAACTTAGAAGTAGTCTTATGAAATATACATTTAGAATAAATGTTGTTACAATCTACCATGTGAGTCATATCTAAGGGGCAAATTCTGGACCTTTGTGCATAATTGTGTATTGGGATTCAGGTAAGGGTGGTGGGAGAATACACCCCTTGCAGGAGTACTAGCAGTGTTGCTACTCCTTCCCAAGGAGTCCGTTGCTGTCCACATCTGCTGTGTATGTCTGTCTTCCGCACAGGAGGGTTAGTCTCATATATTGTTTCTCAATATGGGGTCAAAGCCCTATTTCAGGAGGCTGTGACCATCTTCTATCATTATAGCTACATAGGAGGTGGTTCATGAAACTTTTTTTCTGTTGTAACATGAGGCCATCCTATGGAGAAGGTTGACAACCATGGCCTCATGGAGCCTCCTATTTTATGAACAAAGACTCGGGATCATTCCCTGCCTATTTCTCCTCTGTGCTGCTCCTGGAAGCCATGACACACACAAGGTGCAGAAGCCTTCTGCACCATCTCTGTGGCTGCTGTTGCCATTTTCTGGGAAATGTCCATATTACTGAGCTGGCACATCAGGAACCCCTTTCAATGGGCATTAAATGATCTCAAAACAGTGGGGTTTTTTTGCAGTCTTTCCTCAGTGGTAGTTTTGCAAGGAAATGGATCAAAGTAGGGGAGATATCTAATGCAATAAATTACATCTGAATGAGTAATGTGGTGTGTTTTTCTCTCTCCCTCCTTTCCCTCCCCTTCCCCCTTTCAATCTTGAGAAGCTTTAGAAATGTCTGGAAAGTTTTGGGACTCTTATATAACAATACAAAACATTTCCTCTCTCTTTTTTTCCCCTTCAACATGTTACGTCCGTATCCAAAAAGGGTCATGCAAAAATGACACTCTGAAAAGACAAAGCAGAGCCTAAAACCTTGAGTGGAAATCAGAAAGGCCTGGGATGTTTCTAGACTGTGCTTGGTCCTGCTATGAAGGCAGGGGACTGGACTTGATGACTTCTCGAGGTCCCTTCCAGTTCTAGGATTCTATGATGCTATGAAGTAGAGGATCAATATTTTATAGATATATTTAATAAAAACAGTAGTCAAATCCTTAGTTTCATTCCAAAGATATCCGGTATTTGGATATTATGTACTTTGGTGTGATATTTTTTTTTCTAGGAACTTCAATCTTTCTGTGCAAGTCAGCGATAGGTTTGGGGGGATACCCTTGTTCTAAATAGCAACCTTTTTCTTCCATCGTTTCAATTTTATATTTTTAAACTGGGATTTCTGAAAAAGGTACACATCCATCTTAGCTTCATATGTGTCAAATTTGAACTCTGAATGCTGGATGGAAGAGAGGACTGTTTTTCAAATGAGACCCTCCATGTGGCAATGGGTCCTGGGGGACCAGAATCTTTGCAAAGCTAACTGCTGTCAGTGCTGCATTTGAAAGAGGGAGATTTTGTGACACAAAAATGGTTTTACTGCATTTGGCTTGTAAATGGAGGTATCCATTATACACTGTACGTAAGCAGGACGCTTCAGTTTTGTATATTTGTTTGTTGTTTCATTTTGCAGGCAAATACCGAAAAGCCTTCCTTAAGCAAGTCTGAACAATCAGGGCGAAATGCTCTCTTATCTGATATTAGTAAAGGAAAAAAACTAAAGAAAGCTGTTACTAATGATAGAAGTGGCCCTATCCTAGACAGTAAGTACTATCTGAATGTAGTTAATGAATGATGAGTTAATATGCAAAATTACAGTTGTTTTTATCATTAGCACATGAAAAGATCCAGGATGGTCAGGCAAAATAAATTGTTGCAATATGATCATAAATAATTTTGCTATATTGGTGCATGTTTTAAATCACTTGAGATATCAATTACTGTTTATAATATGTGTATATTTGTGTTCTAATTCTGGTAAACCTATAGAAAATTGTAATTGGTAGAACTATGCTTAATGGTAGAGGGAAGTTTGCTTTCAAGGTTTGCAGTACTGCTTATTTTAAAGGCAGACTGCAGTGTTTTTTTGTTTTTTTTTTTTAAAGAACTACTTTAGATGGCTATAGAAAATATTCTTAATTTCAGAGCAGCATATAAAAAAATCTGCTCCCACTACTAATATGAAATGTTTGGCTGTTTTAATAATTACAAAAGAAACTGCATCTTGGTGTTGGGACAGGAAGATGAGAGCTTTGGCTGAACACCCAGGTTGAGTGTTAGAAGCACTGGTACTTTATCAGCTCTGACAAAGTGTCCATATTACAGTACAGGCAGTCCCCGGGTTACATGGATCCGACTTACATCGGATCCCTACTTACACACGGGGTGAGGCAACCCCGCACTAGCTGCTTCCCCCCAGCAGACCAGGGAGACGCGGAGCGGCTTTTCTCAGCAGACACCTCAGCTTGAGAATAAAGGACTGAGGGAAGTGAGGTGTGGGAGAATAAAACTGAGCTCTGGAGAAATGGTTGGCTAGAGTTTCCCCTACAATATGTACCAGTTCCGACTTACATACAAATTCAACTTAAGAACAAACCTACAGTCCCTATCTTGTACATAACCCAGGGACTGCCTGTATAAAACTGAGCTCTGGAGAAATGTTTGGCTAGAGTTTCCCCTACAATATGTACCAGTTCCGACTTACATACAAATTCAACTTAAGAACAAACCTACAGTCCCTATCTTGTACGTAACCTGGGGACTGCCTGTTTATGGCTGAAAAATACAAGCAAATACAAGTTCATATATATACATCTGTGAGAGAGCAGAGAACACAACCTAGGTCTCCTGATGGCCAATCCTATGACCTGCTCATTGCACCGTGGTTCTCTACATTAGTCCCTTGCCTTTATTTAGAACTGGGAAAATACTTTGTGCCATTTCAGTCATGGAGTCACAATATTTGTCATGGTCACAGTACAGAAGCATTTTTATATTATAACCATGGCTGCCTGTTAGGAAAACAAGCTAAAATCCAGTCAGTCCATTTCTAGACCATACCAAAAGCAGTGCAAAAACAAATCACTGATCCCCTGAGGTTTGTACACTCTCCAGGCCTCTAAATTGGGCAGACCACCACCAGGAAGGACCCCTCTTCCCCAAGTTTTAGGTTGCTTATAGATGCATAGTAGAGAAGGACAAAGGCAAGACAGGGGCAAGGGGTTGGAAGCCCAACATGGAAGTGGCAGCTGAATGCCACATGGAATTCTCATTATCTCTACCTAGTGTAGTCCCAGCTTCTGCTAGGTTTTACCTGCTTCATAACCCTTTTATCTAAGACAGTGAAAAGAAAGGGGGGGGAGAGAGGCTATGGAAATGATTGGTTTATGTATTTAAAAATTCTGATTTTTGTTTCAACAGAACCAAAAGGATCAAGTGGTGGCGGCGGCGGCTTTGGCGGCAGCAGTGGTGGAGGAAGTGGTGGTGGCTATGGTGGAGGCAGTGGCGGTGGCGGCGGCGGTGGTGGCGGACCA